TTTATGGTTTTTGGTTTTTCAAGACAGGGTTTCTCCGTGTAGCCCTGGTTGTCCTGGAACTCACTTTGTAGACCAGGCAGACTCATAGAGATCTGCCTGCCTCTACTTCCCAAGAGCTGGGATTAATAGCATGCTCCATCTTCGCCTGGCCAGTTTGTGGTATTTTTGCCTCTGACACTATTAAAAATTACCCCTAGACTTTGTTTCTTATATAGGATACAGAGAGCTCTGTATATAATATCAGGAATGAATTTCCAGCCACAGTATTTAAAATACAAAAAAAAATACTTTGATATTTTAAGCAACAAACTCTAGTTGCCTTGAAACGCAATACTGTTGCAGCAAGATGGAATGCGTATTTCTCAAGTGATGTTCCTGGTCAGCAGTCACAAGGGACTTCAGTCCAAACATGTGTGAAGACAAGTGAGCACCCATGGGCTACTCCTCTCATGGGTTCTGAACGCCTACCTCCCCACCATAGGGTGTTCCGTACAGACACAGGATCCCTGTTTCAGGCACTAGGGGGTGAGAGGGAGGGGAGGAGGAGGAAGAGAAGAGGGGGGGGAATAAAATTGTACGGCTTCATCTTTCCTATATTCAGAGAATAAATCTCAAATAGTGAGATGGAAGTTTACTCTTCCCCCTGAGCCTGCAGAGGCGCATGTGTACCTCAGCTACACGAATAAAGCTCGAAATCCCCAAGCACCTGCGAGAATGGTAAGCATGCAGTTAACGCTGGCGGTGAATGGGGAGCACTACACCCTGCCTGCCCTGGCTCCTTATTAGTATTTACATTGTCTTTCCCTGCCAAGCACTGTCGTTGGCCTACTGCCGAGTTGGTTTTCAATATTTAGTAACCACTAGATGGCACAAAAGGAAAAGGCTTTAGGCCTTTTTAAAAAGGCTGCACTCCCACTGGAGAGGCTGGCCATAATGTGTGTGGGGTGGGGGGAAGCAGGCATCCTGGTGTTAATTAGAAAGAAACGGTAGGCTGCATTCCACCTCAGACATTACAGAAAGTAAGACCTACAGAAGAGATGGTCATAGAATGAAGCTTTTTTGTTTGCTTGTTTGTTTGTTTGTTTGTTTGATTGATTGGTTGGTTTATTTGTATGTATATAACTTATTTTATGTTCATTGGTGTTTTGCCTGCAAGTATGTCTGTGTGAGGGTTTCAGAAGCCCTGGAACTGAAGTTACAGACAGATGTGGGTGCTTGGAATTGAACCTAGAGTCCTCTGGAAAAGAAACCAGTGTTCTTAACTACTAAAGCCATCTCTCCAGCACCCCACACACACACATTTATAAAATGAAGCATAAGCAGAGAGAGAACAATGAGACAACCAGATCAAGAGGAACAGAAGTCTATGCTGGTGGTACACTAAAAAACCTGAAGCCAGAAGCAACAATCTTAATCAAAATATTATAGGACACCAAGCGTACGACCAGCACAGTTGGACTGATAAAAAAAGAGAACCAGGCCAGATTTATCATCATGGCCAAAGGAGTCTCGAATTGGTGGAGAAACCCCATGCACAAGAGCAGAGAGGTTGCATAGACATGATTTAATATGGACTATAGAGTTTTTAGCCAATTTTAACAAGTCTCCATGCATCTGTTTAAAGGTGCCAAAGTGATCCTACATAATTGGTCCATGGAGACACCTAGGTCTTGGACATTCAAACATCACTTCAGACGTTAAGAAGCCAGGTGTTGGTGTGGGCAAAAGAACATGACGGGCTGGTGCAGACTGCTGCCTTCCGAAGCCTGGCTTCAGCCTGGCCCATTCCATGTGACTGACAGATTGACAATCCCACTTCCTGGGTTCCTGTGCTCACCACGAGACTGCCTGATTGCAGATGGATTTTTCTATAGATCTGCCCTCAGTAAGAAGGCAAACCCTGGTCCTTCCGGAGTAAGCGCCAGGAGTTCAATATATTGGCACTCTATTTTTAACACCCGTCTCCTATGAGCTTGGTAAATGGGAATTGTCACCAGGAAAAGAACTATCTCTTAAGAAAATTAATTCTCTGAATCAATTGAACAGTTTTTGAACTGTATATTGAACACATCCTGGAGTATCTCTTATCAGATATTCAAAATCCGTTTGATCATTTCCCTCATCTTCTGCTTTCATATCCACGCACCCAAGTACCAACCAGACCCCACCCTGCTTCGCTTCTAAGATTAGATGAGATTGGGCACATTCAGAGTGATATAATCATGGACTTTACTTTCATATTTTATGCTTAAGACTCCAACATACTTGCATAGCAAAATAGCAATGAAGACTTCTATTAATGCAGAATCCAATACCCAAGTCCCAAAGATCATCACCAGATCTATCTTGGTTAGATACAGGTATCTGCATTAATAAGAAGCCCAAGGGCATCCAAGAAGGCTGACCCCCAAACTTACAGCATACAAGAAACATTCATCCTGAGTCCAGGAGCACACCATCATAGAATATTTTATTTTGGAAAAAAGATCTCCAGAGAATTAAAATTAACCCTCTAAAGGGTTCCTGAATTCTCAGGTTACTGTGGAGGAGAGGTATAAATGGGTGTGGCAGAAGCTGTCAATTAGAGCTTAATTTAAGATGCTAAAACAAAACAAAGAACCTACCAACCTCAACCTCTGGATGCATCAGCCTTTAATTAGAAGTATCAAAATACTGCCATTATCATTAGAGAAAGGATAGAGAAATTGATGTACTGTACAACCAATAATACACACACAAAACCAGGAAAAAATTAACCCTAACCCTAACCCTAAGTAACCCTAAGTAAGTTAGCTTTTACCATAGCAACAAAAGGCCCCATAGAAGAAGCAGCTTAAGAAAGGAACCATTTTGGCTCACGGGTTTGGGGGGGTTCAGTGCATCATGGCAAAGAAGGTGTGGCAGAGCAGAGGAAGTTCATTGTGTGGTTCAAAAAACAGAGAACAGGGAAACGCTAGCACTGAGCTCCTTTTTCCTTTTCCTCTGTCCAGACCACTAGCCTGTTGGATGGTACCACCCATATTCAATGTCTGTCTCCATTCTGGGTTAATCTTTTCTGGAAACTATCTCACAGACACCCTTAAATGTAATTCACTGATCTTCGAGGCAATTCTAAATCCAGTCAAGCTGACAATGAAGATTTGCTATTACAGAAGCCCAATACAAAATTTTAACTTATTAATAATTTCAAGGTGCCAACATCAGAACATTCTGAGCATAGGGTTCTGTGCATCTGTGTAAATCATAAGAAGATGAAGATGAGTCTTTGGCACCATGGGACAAGGCTACAAGTGAGGTAGGAAAAATTTATAAACAAAAGAATAATTTATTCAAATTCATATGACCTTCCTTTCAACTTGCATGCCCTCTTGCAGCCAACATGGTCTCTTCAGAATGCAGACAGGATCTTGTTACTTCCTGGTGAGAACTCCAATGGTACCCTTTCTCTAGGGCCAAGCCTGCAGTCTTTAGTGTAGCCCCAAAGCCACCCATCTCCCGTGCTCTTCTTTCTTTCTCATTGCTTGAGTTACACACCTCTGTTTCCATTCTTCTAATGTTCCAGGCTTCTTTATTCTCAGATCTTCCACACGCTCGATTTTCTGTGACCAGAAGAACCCTTCCTACCTGTTCCTAGATAGATGAATTGTACCCTTCAGGTCATCGGTTACATATTGCGTTCTTAATAGTTTTTTGAAAATTATATTTTAGTTAGCCTGTTTATTTTGTAGATGGAAGGCACGTGCTGCCACACAGTCTTTCTCCAGGTAGCCAGAGGACAACTTTTTGAAGTTGGTTTTTTCTATGTAGGTCCTAGGAATCAAGACTCAGGGCACCAGGTTTAGTGGCAGACTCCTTTGTCCGCTGAGCCTTCTAATTGATTCTGTTTATGGAATTGTTTTAACCCATTCTGGGACCTTCTCTTATTATGTCCCTTATACATGTATTTCTGCCCTTCAGTTTTTAAATTTTAAGCCTTATTTTACTTTTAACTACGTATATATGTGTGTGCCTGTGTGTGAGTAAATACACATTAGTTCAAGTGCCCTCAGAGCCGTAGACATTAGATTTCCCTGAGCCAGAATTACAGGCAGTTGTGAGTCACCCTATGAGTGGTGGGAATGGAATTCAACCCCACTCTGCAAGAGCAGCAAGTGCTCTTAAGTGCCGTGCCGTGATTCCAGCCCACCTCATCATCCTTAAATGGTGATTTATGCAATGAATTGTGTAACATCTGTCTCTCTGCAGGACTATCTTATCTCTACTACAGCCTCCCTGATGGTTAATGAAGGCTATGAGACATCGGAAGTACTTGAAAAGGTATTTGGATTGATGAGTGGAAAGAGAAAAATAAAAGAGGGTGAATGTTTCAGTTCCTGTTCTATTTCTGTGACAAACACCATGACCAAGGCAGCTTATAAAATACATCATTTTTTCAGGGGGGGTTTCAGGATGGTTGAGTTGTGAGGGGTGTGCAAAGGCATGGTGGCAGGGACAACTGAAAGTTCACCTCCTGACCCATGAGCAAGAAGCGGACCAAAGCACACTTAGAATGGCTTGAGGCTTTTGAAGCTTCAAAGCCAATTCCCAGTGAGGTACCTCTTCCAACAAGGCCACACCTCCTAATCCTTCCCGAACAGTTCTCCCAAGTGGAGACCAAACACGGGAGCTTCTGGGGTCCATTCTTACTCCAAACCACCACGGTGAATTTACCAGGTGCTGGTACACTCCTTTTGATTAAAAAAGGTTTATCTAAACCCCAAAGGCCTGGCTCCCCAAACCACTCCACGCTTGGCATTAAGCTTCTGTTAGGTGGAGGCTAACAATGCAACCCTACTTCATAGTCTTCTGGGGCAGTCCAGGTTTGTGACTGTTGTCTTGGTGTGCACTCATTAGCAGCGCTTGGGTTAAGGTGGCTCTCCCTCTCTGCCCTGCACTCCTCTCTCCGTCGTTGGTGGCTGCGGTATTAACAGAAAGAGCTTAAGTTATTAAACTGAGCAGCTCTAATCCCCGAGGTTTCCTGGAGCAGCAGGGATTATTGTCTTTTTATTCCAGAGTCAATGCAGCCTTTGTGTCGGCTCCCAGCGATTCCCAAACTGACCCCAGATGCCTTTCTCTAGACACACTCCCCGCCGTGCGAGAGGTGATGGAGTTTTACCTGGAGATCGACCCTGTCACCTTGAACCTCATTATCCTAGTTGCGAGCTACGTCATCTTACTCTTGGTGTTCCTCATCTCCTGCGTGCTGTACGACTGCCGAGGCAAGGATCCCAGTAAGGAGTATGCCCCGGAGACCACACTGAATGCCCAGCCGTCAATCCGAGTGGTGGTGACACAGCACAATGCTCATGGGTCCTGGACAAGGGGACCCAGCCTTCACTTTAAAGGTCCTGCTCCAATAGGGAAGAAGAGTACCGTGGTGTGAGACTGGGGAGAGATGTAAGAGAGAGACCAAGAGATGCAGCAGAAAACAGCTGTTCCTACTGTGGCTCCGGTTCTCCCCCAATGCGGGTCCTGATTGGATGAGGAAACTGAGGCTTTGTCGTCCGATCTGCACTCTGGTCACTCTCTTTGTGAGTTAAGCAACTGTTTGAGGTAAGATGCCACAATGGTCTTCGGCTTTGTTCTCCAAATGTAAGATCGGAGCAGAACCATTCTATAGCGAGGCTGGTTACTCATACCTTCCTACTAGGAGGGGCTGATGATGCATAAGGTTTGAAAGGCGCGTGAGGTACGGGGGGATGGGATAAATAATGCACTTTACAACTCCATTATTTCCTAGTAATCACATCTGTACACCTGGACTTCCGGTTGTTATTTTTGTACATAACAGCTCATCACACTTCATCCCCCCTCCAGTCACAACTGTGTAACCAAGGCTGGGTTGGGCTACCTCTTCATACCGCAGGCCTAGCGCTGGGTCATTTGAACATCTCAGTTTCCACGGATTCCACTCACTAAAACTGCTTGGGACAATGCTTGACCATTAGTCTTGCTGTGGTGAATGTTGACTTTATTCCTATGTGTACTTCCCATCCGAAAGGCAGATCTCTGGGGACTGGAGAGATAGCTCATTCAGGAAAATACTAACTACAAGAGCATGAGCACCTGAGTTCACATCCCAAGCACTAACACACACACACACACACACACGTGGGTGTAGTGGCCTGTGCCTGTAGTCACAGGGGCAGATGGATTTGTGTCTCTGACATGGTCGTCATCTTCTCTAGCTGAATCAGTGAGCTCCAGGCTCAGTGAGAAACTCTATCTCAAAAAGTAAAATGGAGACCAATAGAAGAAGATTCCCAACCACTGACCTCCACATACATGCACATACGCATGCATATATACCTACACATGTATAAATACGTGCACACACACAGGCCATACAATGTTTCACCTCTAGTCTTCAACTCTGACCTGATTTACTACAAACTTATTGCAGAGTTATTTAAAAAAAAAAAAAAAAGTGCGAGGTCTTAAAGCTTTGTGTTCTAATCCCCCGGAGAGAACCCATGACCTTCTTTCTCCTTCCAGAGTTGTTGTTGACTAATCATTTTTTTCCTCCTGCTCTTTCCTTCACTTGTCCTTTGTTCGTGTATGTGTTATGCCTTCCCCGCCCTTACAGGTCTGCTTGGTGGTATACTGAACCTTTCTTCCCGTGAGGACCTGTGTGGAGTGCAAAGAAGTAAGTGTGCCGTGAGCCCCTGCTCTCCGACCGCTGACCTATGCTGTCTGACAGGAAGAAGAAGAGTCACGCATGACCCAGGCAATGAGCGGAAAGAGCATTTGTGCATACTCTGCCAGAGTCTGTACAGACTGTGGGACTGGAGAAGGTGTTTGCTGTCTCATCGACTCCGGCATCCAAGAAAGGTGATTCGACTTGTAAGATAAATGGCTTTTATTGCTAGGGAGTGAAAGTGTCTTGGGACCACGGGAGGAGGGATTTTATGTATAAGGAATGGCTAAGACAAAGCTCAGAAGCGAAAACATTATAGAAGCCGTTGACTGTGGCAGTCTTGTGTCTTCCGAAACTATGGGGAAAAAAAAAATCGAGAAACTGAATTACAGTTTCTGCTGTGAGGGGAGAGGAGAGCCTAGCCCATGCTGCCCTGCCAGATTCAGTCTGAGTCTCGTTTTGTCTTTACATTGCTAAAGTAGCTGTAAAATGTATGGAGACAAATTGCTACCCTTACATACATATTTTGAAAATTATGTTGAAAATATACAGATTTTTCTGATGTCTGGTCAAATAGTAATCTCCATTCTTAAGCTGTAAATGTAAAACATGACTGTATGGTATAGAAAACTCACACGCTATTCTCGAAATTCCTCTTTTCGTGCTGATGTTCTTCTTTCTGTACCCTTTGTCAGTGGATGCAAAATATATTACTGAAGGAAAATTCAATGAGCCATCAAAAATTAATGCTAGCAATGTTAATTAATTTATCTTTTGGCAGACATAAATGTTCAACTTATCTAATAAGACTATCAAGAATATTCTTAATTAAGAACATGAAATAAGCATTTGCTTAAAAATGGTTACATGAAATACTTGTCATTGTGTTCCCATTCCATATTTGGGCCAATTCAAGAAGGAAAAAGTAGGAGCTGGAGAGATGACTCAGGAGTTAGAGGTACTTGCTGCCCTTAGAAACAGAGTTCAGTTCCAAACTCCAGTGTTGGGCAGCTTACAAACGCTTGTGACTCCAGCTACAGAGGATGTAATTCTCTACTATAACCACAGAGGGCATCTGCCACACACACACACACACACACACACACACACACACACACACGCACGCACGCGCACACACGCAGGCATGCATGCATGCACGCACGCCTGACAAATCTTTTTTTAAAAAAGGGAAATTAACAAATATGGAGAAAAATATGTCATAAGAAAAAGAGAACAAAAATCAAATAGTAATAACAATATTATTAATAACTATCACCATGAAGGAAAATAAAGACAGAGGAGAAAGAAAAAGGAAACCAGAAAGCAAACTACAGGCAAGCTAAGATTGGAGCAGGTGGTCGTGAATAGGTGCCCCCACCTCCGGTGATATGATTTATAGTTTATCCAATCTGGGCTCTCTAAACAGGAACCTGAAGAGTACAAGAATAAGAAAATAAAAGTGTAGATTCCAAAAATAGGAATGTAAAAATAAAGAAATATAAAGTTCTAAGTCTAGGAGAATGAGAGCAGACTGTCAGCAGCTTTCTCAGCAGATCAAGGATCAGTCATTCACAGTGAGCTGTTTTCTTGGATGCTTGGGAAGCCTCCATCAGACTAGGTCATTTCATTTTACAACTGGCTGCTTTATTTATAAGGCCAGAGCCTCTCCCTCCAAATTGAGAGTAGTGTCCTGGCCATCCCTGATAAACACAGATGTGAACTGAGTTAACCTTTAGGAGACAGAGATGTGTGACCTCTGGGTTAGACATTGTCTCCGTTATAGAAAACTGGTGCCTCCAAAGGGGAGGCATGGGACTCCAGTATACACCTGGAGGTACTGGGAGACAGTGGACAAATACAAGGTTTAATTGATCAGAGCTCTGATAATGGAGGTTGTAAAGTATGAAGGTCAGTATCTGAGTTTTACCTTGAGATAGTGCGAAAGCTTTCTGCTACCTCCTAAGTTCTCAGCCTAAGAACCAATTAATTCTAATTTATTAACCTTTTAGTACTGCTAGCTGTCCTTTTTCTGACCATTGCTAAAGACATCTGTTTTCCTGCAATTAGTGACTTTCTCTGTAATCTACTCTGAAACATATTTCATGATAGCTGCCTAGTTACCCATTGATGTTAGAACTCACTCCCCTACTTAGGGTCTCTGTTGTCTGACCCACGGGTGAGGGTAAGATCATAAAACTTCCTTTGTTCGGACCTAATTCTTGGTGCCCTAACTATAAAAGATGGGTTCAGAAACCAGCCTTTGGCCACAGCCTAACAAACACCATCTCTGGCTGTGGTCCCAGCTAGCTGATAAGCTTCTGTGCCCCACAGTGTTGTTTTTTTATTTTTTATTTTTAAGTTTGCTTCTGGTTTTCCTAGGATTTGGTTTCTGGAATAAAGTTTGCTTCTGGTTTATTAGGCTTAGTGGTGTTCTCATCTTTGCATGACCGCCCTGGACCCAACATCAACATGCAGATGAATGAAAATAGACCCATATCTATCATCATGCACAAAACTCAAATCCAAATGGATCAAAGACCTCAACATAAAGCCAGGCACACTGAGCCTTATCGAAGAGAAAGTGGGAAGTACACTTGAACACATTGGCACAGGGAACCACTTCCTAAATATAACCCCAGCAGCACAGACACTGAGAGAAACAATTACTAAATGGGACCTCCTGAAACTGAAAAGCTTCTGTAAAGCAAAAGACACGGTCAACAAGACAAAACAGCAGCCTACAGAATGGGAAAAGATCTTCACTAACCCCACATCAGACAGAGGAGAGGTGTGATCTCCAAATTATACAAAGAACTCAAGAAATTGGACACCAAAAGGTCACATCATCCAATAAAAAAAAAATGGGGTACAGACCTAAACAGAGAACTCTCAACAGAGAAATCTAAAATGGCTGAAAGACACTTAAGGAAATGTTCAACATCCTTAGTCATCANAGCCCGCCCCCAAGGGGAGGGCTTATCCCTACACAGCTAACCCTAAGTCCCCACCCAAAGGTCATGCCTCCACATACCATTAACATATAAAGTCAGAGCTAAATTTCCAACACGTGAACTTGTGTGTTCTGCCCCCACTGCCATGCTCACACGTGAACTTGTGTGTACACGCCTCCACTGCTATGCTCACACGTGAACTTGTGTGTATACGCCTCCACTGCATTGCTCACACGTGAACTTGTGTGTATCTGCCCCCACCATGCTCAAACCACAGCAGTCAGGAAGGAAGGAAACCCAGAAAGCACAGGAAGTCTCCAGCAGCCTTTGACCTCGAGCTGGACCTGTCACTTTTATCTACCTGGACCCCCATGTTCTTTCTCTAACACTGCCCTGCTTGCATTTCAAACCCTAGGAAATAATTTTTGTAGTTACTCTTTATTTTTATTTTCTTTGAATGGGTGTTTTGCCCATGTGCATGTAAGTATGCATGCAGTACCCATAGAGGCCACAAGGGGCCACTGGATTCCCAAGGCCTGTAGTTAGATTGTTGTGGATGCTGGGAATTGAACCTGAGTCCTGTGGAAGAGCAGCCAGTGCTTTTAACCACTGAGCCATCTCTCTAGCCTCACGGCTTCTTATTTTTAATTAAAACTATTTCCTAGAGGAATTAGTTTCACAGCTGTGTGCTTCTTCAGCTCTACAAATTTATCACTGAAACCCAGTGGGTTGGACTGCCAACCAGAAGAAACATTCGGCTCCCCTGACCTTCAAATACTACCTTATTTTTGTTTCCTTGTGGGATTAGCACTTTTTTGGTTCACATTATTTTAATTTGTTACTTTGCTATTATGTGCAATTATTGCTAAAGCAAATGCAATATTTTGTCTAATTTGGCCACAGCAATAACTGCAGGAGGAAACACACATAAAACACCAGGAAGGCGGCAAAGAAGGAGGGAAGAATAGGAGGTTTCAAGAATCTCAGGACATGCCGGGTATTTTTTTTTTTTATTCGTAGTATCATTTAATCCCCACACTCTTACACGAGAGTGGCTAAACAATGGTTTAAATTGAATGATATGTGGCTTAAAGAACAGACACAGCTTCGGCAAGGCCAGCGAGTAGCTAGCACACTCAGCAGGAGGATCTGAACACCTTTCTATTGGTGTCACCTGGCGCTACTTTTTCCCACAAGCAGATAATTGTTTGTTCCCCTGCTGATCACTTTCAATACCTAGGACGTCATTCAGCGCATGCTTATTAAATAATGTAATGACCAGATTTGCCCCACTGCATATTATAGCCAGAGTCCATGGGGGCAATGGGGACAAACTAATTGCCCTGTTTTGGACAGAATACTGTCCCCTGGTGTGTCAAAAGTCACCAGGAGATAGTGGACTAAAGCTGGGCATTCTACCAGACAAGCCTCCCTCAGTTCCTTTCTGTTACCACCTGCTGGTAAGCCATTTATGCAAGACTTGACTTCCTAAGCTTCTTTATTTAGACTAAAATATGGGTGAAATAGGGTGGTCCATGAAGCTTAAAATTGCATATGGGAAGCCTCTGACACATGGTGACATTTCAGTGACAAGAAGGCCATTGTTAGTACGCTGTTAGAGAGGTGGACGGAAGAAGGAATTGCATCACTTGAAGGCTCCGGTCAGTTCAGGGTAAGGGGCACGCTGGCGCACACAGTGGAAATCGGGGGGGGGGGGGGGGGGGGGGGGGGGGGGGGGGGGGGGGGGGGGGGGGGGGGGGGGGGGGGGGGGGGAAGCAAAAAGGTTAGGAGTTGAGATTTTTCTCACCACCCCAAGTCTCCCATCTTATTTGTAGGAATCTTTAGACAGGGCACCTCGGTTTGAAATAAAGTCATTCCTGCCGTAATTAGTGAAGATAAACTCATACCGGAAGTAGGATGGCCCCCTAATCCAATATGGCTGTTGTTATCAAATTTAGCCAGGGCTGATGGTCCATGAGGGTCATGAGTTTGAGGCTACCCTGGACTACATAGTAAGACATAGTCCCCAAATTTTAAAAGCGGTGGATGGCTGGACACAGGCAGTTGTAAAAACCGCTCTGTGAAATCTACAAGTTATGCAGTCCAAAACAAAGGAACTGGAAGGCAGAAGGGCCTGAAGCAGAGCCTTCCAGAGCCTTCAGAGAACGTGATCTTAGACACCTGGCCTCTAGAAACGGGCAGTGTTAAATATAAACAGCCAGAGCTTCTCAAGCTCTCTCCCCTCAGCCCTTCCTCATCCACAGTTTTTATGTGACTGAGGCTAGACCGGCACATTAAAAAGACATTCAAATTACGTATTTACTGTGATTAAATCACAAATTTATTTTAAAACAATTCTTGAGTTTGCACAGATTTTATCATTATTAAACGGCGGATTTGCATACTAATGAGATGGGTGGGCTTGTGTCACCTAGGTAACTCTTGGCTGACTGCGGTTTTCAGAGTTCTCTGACATTTTGATTTTAATTCACCGGTGTTAGCAACTTCACTCCTCACAACTTCAGAGTATTCAGGGGCATTTGAGATACTGTCAGAAATTTTGTCAGAACCCCAAGCCAAATTTAATTTAATGGTTTTTTTTTTCCCCATGAAACTCAAGTCAAAAACACAAGCATCCAGCTACAAAGTTAACGGTTTAGCTATGACGTTAAAGATACATGAGCTGACACACACTGGGGAATGAGAGTAGCCAAATATTAAGTCTTTGTTTTGTGTAACTGAATTACCGTGTTTCTATAAGAATGAA